GCACTCGTGGAATACATTGAATGTGTTGTTCCCGCCGTATATGTCACGTACAAGTCAACTCTCGAAAATCTTCCGAATGTCGTTTACTATCCTGGTGGTGCTGGAATTTGGGGTTCCTATGCCATCTTAAACATTCTGCTGTTTACTATATTGGAAATTGGGTCATTCCTGTTTTTGAATCATTTTATTCAGCATAAATTTAAGATCTCTACTATGTACCAGGTCGCTTTTGTACTTGAAACGCAAGTGTCTCAGGTCCAATCAATGCTGGTATTCTCGTTGATTCTTCTTCTATCGTACGAGCTCGCTCATAACGGTATGTCACTTGTCTTTTGTGTTTGTTTCGTAACTAAATGCTGCAAAATATGAATGTAGGAGTTGACTTTACTTTTCAATTCAATTGGATCCGATAACGATAGTCCGATATATAAAATTTCTTCTTACAAATGTGGATTCAAGGTTGAATTGTGAAATCATTATATTGAGCAGATCAGTTGCGTAGAGGTCCGATGATGTCAAGCTGCCACGCCGAGCTTTGCAGCACGCAGCAATTAGTCGATACGTCAGGCTGCTTCAAACTGATATTTCACGAAATTTTTCGAAGCTTAATAATAACTTAAACTAAAAACGTGTACCCTTAATTTCTCAGAATAATTAGTATATTTGAAACTCACATTCGCGCAAATTTACTGAGATACCATTTTCTTACATGGACTAGCAAATTTAATTATACACTTAGTTAATTTCGCGAAGTCAGATGCATGCATAGGAGTATTCGGCCTTTAATATAATGCCTGGATCTATAGTTAGTCAGACTGTTATTGTAAGCAATTCGTGCAAAGAACATCTACAGAATACACACTCTAGCCCTTTACTAATGATGATCTAGGTCACTTCTGCCATTGATCAAACATCGCGCTCATATTTGGACTTTTGATGCATCAACCGATGATCAACAAACCTCCTGCGTCAACGTTCGCGTGCGATGTATACGTGGTTGAGATATTTCAATCCAATCTCTTTATCTACCGAGAAAAGCTGATAAAGTTGCACAACTTAGCATGAAGGGTTATTTGCCAGGCATCGCCACTTAGAAGAACCAAGTGATAAATATAACCGGCTTCGAGTCTGGTGTTTTCTGCATTACATCGATATTGTCATGCAGGAAGCCTGACAGGGATTCATATCAAACCCTTACCTTTTCAATCTTATCTTCGCTGCGGCAAATAATATTGTGGACAAATTACAAGGAAGATATCGTAAATTCTTTTACCCGTTTTTTCTATGTCAGGAATGTCTCAATGGAAATCATTGACTGACAGAATATGTCAGAACAAGTAAAGTGTTGTAATAAGCAACTCTGTCTCCTCTCCTGAGGCGAAAGAAAATGATGGAGCGCCAAATCAAACGTCGCCCGACAAATTTTGATATAGTGGGACATCAAGTTCTATCAATATATCGACATGAGCTTGTCTTCTTTTTTTTTCGGAAACTAGTAACAGATTCTATGTATATACGTCGGCGACGAAACGTGCAACGTGAGAGTGGACCACCTTGTCTCATCGACCAGAGCCGGCGGACAGCTATCCTACGTCTACTGGCGGACGTGAGCCCTGCAGATATAACGACACATGGAAGTCGTGAAGTGTGCTCCAGCTTGACATTGTAAGACTGTTTCAGCACAGCAGTCGTGCCGACTGGCTTGACTTCAGGCAGTTTAAAACTGCATAGCTGTTCATGACCAGAGGCTGGACCACCAAGAAATTTTGCTTAAATTCGTTCGTCTTCAGCTCTATTAATTGCAATCGAACGGCATGTCATGGAATGTCCTCAAGAAGGTTTTACATTCACTTCCAAAGGCTGGGTCTGTAGATGAATTACGTTTAAGCTACAACTGTGAGCGGTCCACTAGAGCAGGGGTACACATGGTCTGATAGACTGCAAACACTGCATTTGCAAGAAGGTTAATCTCGTCGAATATACTTTTTTCAAGCACTGCAGATCAGTGTGTGATCCATCCATATCCTACAGTGGTGTGAAGGTTTTGAGCATCCGGGCTCTCTGACATAGCATCACGCGCCCAACACATGGCGATCGCTCTCAATAAGATATCACACAACATTTTCCCACGAAGTTCAGCCAGCTGATACCTGCAGTTTATATTATATCAACAACTTCCTCCTACCGGAGCCACTTTGGTGTCGACGTGGAAGAAATTTGATACTTAAAAAGAAACCCATTTATCCAAAATTAGACAGTAAAGAGACCTGGCTTAATTAACAACCTAATAGCCATTGAACTGATTTCTTGACGCTAAACTTTGTCGAGGAACGTTCTGGCTGATAACATTAGCGTTTTGATCGCAATGAGACGATCCATTTTGCTCTGGCGGTCTTTAAAGGCCATAATGTCTGTCTTACGGGATGTGTGTCTCTACTAATATACTCGGCACTGGCAGATC